GCGCAGTTTGGATTTTGACTTCTTGCGTTTTTTTGAAGACTTCTTTGGATCTTGACTTCTTGCGTTTAGGCGCAATGGGCGACGACGGCTTAGACATCGCCCTCGATGCCATTGGGGTAGGGTTGCCGTTCTTGGATACCTGTCTCTGGCCCGGGGCAAGACGGCGTTCAGCTTCACGGAGCAGCGCCCAAGGCCAGGAGTACATTCTGCAGACCGCGGCAGTCTTCAACACCACTGAGGAGAAGTTCCTGGTCGTTGCCTATCCACTTCTGACTGGCAGCTCTTGTTCTCGGATTCTGGCCCCTCCGACACTTCTTGGCATCAGGCGTCCCTTCCGGCACGGTTGGGCTGCGTCTGCTGGCCAATGTCACGAACGAGCTGGACACTCTGCGCATCGACTCGATAGTTGCCGCGGACTCGCCACCTAACAGGGAGGATCCCGCCCCCACGTGGACGTTGCTCAGCGGGCCTGACCCTCAGCCAACGATATGGGCACCAGATCCACTTTTTGGGTCCTCAGCGCCTCTATCAATGCAAATGCTAGACACTGCCTCAAGCCGGCGAATGAAACGATAAGATTTCGGCCAATTTCGTTGTTTTTGGGTGCTGTTGAGCAGTTGCAACCTGCAACCGTTTCCTTGCGAGTGCAACTCGAAGGTCCTGCGGCGTGGATGGCGCCTGCATCTCCAGCACGAATTTTCCAGAGGACTATCCTGACGATGATGCCTGCATCTTCGAGGTTCAGAACTCGAACTCGCAGCGTGTTTGGGCCCTCGATGTCTTGTCCTTTTCGACGGAACAGTCGTATGACATCCTCGCCGTCAACGGCATCGAGTACTCGGGTGCCCAGGGGGCCTTCGGTGGGCTCGTCCCAATCGGGACGATAGAGTGGCGCGCAGATGCCCGGCATGAATTCCTTTGTTCCCGGGCCAACCTACTCACTCATGCCTCCGGACCGTTTACCAGTTTAGTGATCTTTCAAGCGGCTTCCCTTGGCATCTGTATCCTGGGTAGTATAGCGGACCCTTCTTACCCCTACATCTGGCTCTCTTAAAAAGGGACCGTATTGATAGGATATATATATATATATATATATATATATATATATATATATGATATATGTATATGTATATATATATATATATATATATATTTTTTGGAAGGATTCCTCTGATCCTCACTCGTACTGTAAATCTTCGGAACCTCGTGGAACATGCCACCCGAAAGATTCCCCGGCACGCCAGGACTATGCGCTCGGCAGCAGCGGCTGGCATCTTTGCCTTACTACCTTGAACTTCAACCAGCTCACCTGCCCCTTCAGCTTGGATACCTGTTTCTGGTACGATGCTGGTGCTTCTTCCTGGCAGCTTACCGGGCAAGACGGCGCGGACGGATGGCTCGAAGCTACCCGGAGCGGCGCCCAAGGCCAGGAGTACATTCTGCAGACCGCGGCAGTCTTCAACACCACTGAAGAGAAGTTCCTGGTCGTTGCCTATCAGCTGTCCGGCTCAGACTCTGTGGCGTTGGAGCTCCAGCACAAGAGTTCAGCGGGTGACTGGCAGCTCTTGTTCTCGGATTCGGGCCCACATGCTAATGGGACGTTGTGGCAGAATGCGTCCGTCGTCGTCCCTTCCGGCACGGTAGGTTTGCGTTTGCTGGCCAATGTCACGAACGAGCTGGACGCCGTGCGCGTGGACTCGCTCCATGCAGCAAACGTGCCGCGCCACCAGGAGATTCCTGCCCCAACCTGGACGTTGCTAAGCGGGCCTGGCCCTCAGATGACCCTTGGAATAGGAAGGGGACGGTTTTTGGCGGTCGTGGTTCACAAGATTGAAAAGTCAGGATCGCTTGCTTGGCGTGGTAGTGCTGACAATGCTGGAAACTTACGCAAGCGCATGAATCTAAAACTCTGATCTTGGTGATTTTGAGGCCTTGAGTAGTTGCGCTGGGTTCCCGGAGCTGCTGCAGGTCCTGTGGTGTCTACGGCGCTTGCATCACCAGCACGAATTTTCCCAGTAACTATCCGAACGATGATGTGTGTATCTTCGAAGCTGTTACTTACTCAGACTCGCCAAAGTTCTGGGCCCTCGATGTCTTGTCCTTTTCGACGGAAGAGTCGTATGACATCCTCACCGTCAATGGCATCGAGTACTCGGGTGCCCAGGGGGCCTTCGATGGGCTCGTCCCCATCGGGACAGTAGAGTGGCGTGCAGATGCCCGGCAAGAGTTCGTTTGTTCCCGCGCCAACCTACCCACTCATGCCTCCGACCGTTTACCAGTTTAGTGATCTTTCAAGCGGCTTCCCTTGGCATCTGTATCCTGGGTAGTATAGCGGACCCTTCTTACCCCTACATCTGGCTCTCTTAAAAAGGGACCGTATTGATAGGATATATATATATATGTATATATATGTATATATATATATATATATATGTTTTTTTTTTGGAAGGATTCCTCTGATCCTCACTCGTACTGTAAATCTTCGGAACCTCGTGGAACATGCCACCCGAAAGATTCCCCGGCACGCCAGGACTATGCGCTCGGCAGCAGCGGCTGGCATCTTTGCCTTACTACCTTGAACTTCAACCAGCTCACATGCCCCTTCAGCTTGGATACCTGTTTCTGGTACGATGCTGGTGCTTCTTCCTGGCAGCTTACCGGGCAAGACGGCGCGGACGGATGGCTCGAAGCTACCCGGAGCGGCGCCCAAGGCCAGGAGTACATTCTGCAGACCGCGGCAGTCTTCAACACCACTGAAGAGAAGTTCCTGGTCGTTGCCTATCAGCTGTCCGGCTCAGACTCTGTGGCGTTGGAGCTCCAGCACAAGAGTTCAGCGGGTGACTGGCAGCTCTTGTTCTCGGATTCGGGCCCACATGCCAATGGGACGCTGTGGCAGAATGCGTCCGTCGTCGTCCCTTCCGGCACGGTAGGTTTGCGTTTGCTGGCCAATGTCACGAACGAGCTGGACGCCGTGCGCGTAGACTCGCTCCACGCAGCAAACGTGCCGCGCAACCTGGAGGACGTCGACGTCGTGTGTGGCTTTGAGTCCGGCTTCTGTGGTTGGTACACGACCGGGGCACACCAATGGCAGCGAGCGGCTGATCTAGACTCTGAGACTAGGTTTAGTAGAATCTTCTTCCCCTGTGGTACTTAAAGGATCATGGGAGTTAGTAACTAGGATTATAAATCAGGTAACTATATTTATAAGTACGTATAACCCCAATTAGGGGACGTTAACCTTACTTACTAAGTCCCCTGATCCTCCAAGTGATAATGATTTCCACAGCCATGGTCCTAACACTTTGATACGGTTGATGATATAAGTCCTGCATTACCTTAAGGACCCTAAACTATGGGAATTATGGTATATTCCTTATTTTGGGTAATGCAGGATTTATATCCCTAAACCCTAAAACCCTGTAGATCCCTTAAAGGAACCCCTTAAAGCCATCATCAACCGTAATGCAGACGGCATCGGGCGCTGGTGTTGCGGTCTGATGCAGTCTGAGGCGGGCCAGATGTACGCGTACACCCAGACGGGTGATTATGAGAAGGCAGCTACAGGGTTTATAGGGCTTCTTTAGAGGGATCTATAGGGTTGAGGGCTTCTTCAAAGGGTTTGGGGTCTTAGGGTTTAGGGTGTAGAGCTTCTGTTTTAGAGGACTAGGCCTACGTTAGTAGGGAATGGAGGAATCGGGTACAATTATATTTACTTTTGCTACCATGCTTCCATTCCCTACTAGCCAAAGGTAAGGACTGAAAGGACCAGACGCAAGGTTCAGGGTCTGGGTTCTGACTCTTTGCCTGTCTTTTGCAGGACGTCGTTCTCACCAGCCCCGTGTTCTCCCCGTCACCGAGAGCCCGGTATCTCCACTTCTCTTTCTATCTGCGCGACGGCGGCTCCTATCCCCACGTGGGCAGCTTGCGGCTGGAGACCCTGGGAGGCAGCCGAATAGACCTTAAACCCTATATATAAATCACGTAAACCCTTAACCCTAGATAAATCATATAAACCCTGAAGCCTGAACCCTATATAAACCCCAAACCCTAAACCCTATATAAACTCCAAACCCCAAAACCCTAAAGCCTAAGAGGCAGCGGCTGGACTCAGCTTTGGTCGCGAAGCGCAGAGCAGGGATCTCGAAGCCAATGGCTCCTTGCGCTGGTGGTTTTGCCGCAGGATGCCACAGCGATCCGCTTCGTTGGCAGCATAACGGGAATCACTGTCATCTCACCGGGCTTCATTGCCTTCGATGCCATTGGGGTAGGGTTGCCTCTGGTTGACATCCTCCAGCTTTCGTGCCCCTTCAGCTTGGATACCTGTCTCTGGTACAATGCTGGTGCTTCTTCCTGGCAGCTTGCGGGGCAAGACGGCGCGGACGAATGGCTCGAAGCTTCACGGAGCAGCGCCCAAGGCCAGGAGTACATTCTGCAGACCGGGGCAGTCTTCAACACCACTGAGGAGAAGTTCCTGGTTGTTGCCTATCAGCTGTCCGGCTCAGACTCTGTGGCGTTGGAGCTCCAGCACAAGAGTTCAGCGGGTGACTGGCAGCTCTTGTTCTCGGATTCCGGCCCCTCCGACACTTCTTGGCATCAGGCATCCGTCGTCGTCCCTTCCGGCACGGTGGGTTTGCGCTTGGTGGCCAACATCACCGATGAGCTCGATGTGGTACGAGTTGAATCTTTGTTAGTCGTAGGGTCGGCCGGGGCCCTGGCAGACGTCAGCTGCGGCTTTGAGGGCGGCTCCTGCAATTGGACGGGCCCTTGGCTGCGCCACAAAGGCTTCGTCGAGGGTCCCAGTGGGCCTAATGAGGCTTTCCGTGGCGAGCACTACGTCTACATGCAAGCCGATGATTTTGAGATCAGTGAGGCGGCAGGGGTTCAAATAAAGATAGGCGCTTTTGCTGCATTTGCTCAGCTCTCCTTGGCAGGAAGTCATCTTCACGAGCCAGCGCTTCCCCTTGCTCTCTGATGCAGCGTATCTGGAGTTTGCCTACCACATGCTGGGGACTGGCATTGGGCTTCTGGAGCTGCAGTGCTTGCGACAGGGTCAGTGGATCACACTTTGGTCCCGGTTCGGGTCCCAAGGCGAGGATTGGCTGCTGGCCAAAGTCACGCTCCCCGAACTTTCAGAGATGCTGCGCTTCGTGCACTCCGGCCTCGTCAGCGGCGACGCCGACGTGGCCTTGGACGCCCTGCTGGCCTGGGAGCCCGCTGCTAGCCCTACGTCCTACCTCAGCATGTCTTTTGGACATTCGCACAGTTGCGCCCTGCTCCATCACCAAGGCCTGGTGAAGTGCTGGGGGTTCGGAGGAAGTGGGCGCCTGGGCTATGGCAGTCAGGCATTTGCGCCGGGTGCGGCTCCCAACCAGATGGGTGCCGCCCTGCCCGCAGTGGAGCTCGGCCCACCCGAGCCAAGGGTCCGAGCCACGCAGGTAGCTTGCGGCTTGCGCCACAGCTGCGCAGTGCTCGAAACCGGGCACCTGAAGTGTTGGGGTGATGGCCATGATGGGAAAGTCGGCCCGGGGCATGACGATGTCTTCGTTGGCGACGAGCCCTTCGAGATGGGAGTGTTTCTTCCTGCCATTGATCTGGGTGGTTCTTACGTTGTCCAGGTCGCCCCGGGTGAGGATCATACCTGTGCTTTGCTCCAGGGCGGGGTGGTGAAGTGCTTTGGAAAAGGTGACATGCTTGGCTTGGGAGACGCGTGCGGGCCTCGGGCCTCGGAGAGCTTGGGCATCTTTGTTAAGGGAGCCCAGAGCCGCTGAAGAGCTGATAGGCTGCCTTTTTTCCTGAGGATGGACCGCGGCGAAAATCTAGAGGAGATGGGCACGCAGCTTCCCACCGTCGACCTGGGCACGGGCTTTGAAGCTGTGCAGCTGGTAGCAGGGTCCTATCATACTTGCGCCTTGTCTCGCCAAGGAGCGGTTAAATGCTCCCTAAACCCTAAACCCTAAACCCAAAACCCCTAACCTGGGAGGAGCGGTTAAATGCTGGGGCTGGTCGGGATACCTGGGACTGGGACTCTCCGAGAACCCCGGGAGCTACGTCGGCACCGGTCCCGGTGAGATGGGCGATGCTTTGCCTGCGCTGGACTTGGGAGATCTCCCCATCATTCAGCTCGCCGCCGGTTACCTTCACACCTGCGCGGCAGCTTGGCATAGCTTGAGCACTTTTTCTGCTAACGCAGCTCGGCCCCTACTTAAAGGATCATGGGACTTAGTGCACTTACTGTAGTAACTAGGGTTCTACTTAAGGCAACTATCATTCTATAATTACTTATCTAACCCCGCACAGGGTAACTTATCACCTTACTAAGTCCCCTGATCCTCCAAGCTCCAAGCGCGCAGGTGCGGGTCGATGGCGCGGTCAGGTGCTGGGGCGCAAATTTTGCGGGGGAGCTGGGCCATGGCGGCACGGAAACGGCGGGGGACGACCCTGGCGAGATGGGCAACTAGGTGGCAATTTGGGAAACTTTGTAATTTCCCTTATGGTTCCTATAGAGGTACCTATTCATAAATACTTTTCAGAGCCCCAAAACTACAACCCAGGCAATAACCTGCCCACCACGGACCTGGGCGAGGGATCCAGGGCGGTTCACATCGCCAGCGGTGGCTACCACACTTGCGCCATCCTGCGAGACGCATCCCTCAAGTGCTGGGGCTACGGCAGTCAGGGCCAGCCGCGTCCTCGGGTGTGTAGGAAATCAAAATCCGTGTGTGCAGCACATTTTTGTCTCGGCGGTGCATGCATGTGTTGGTACATGTGTGCACACAGACACAAGCGCTTCGCCGATGTGGCACGTAGCCGTGATCTGCAAGGGCCATTGCCAGCAGTCCGCAAGCGTTCCGGCACATGCTTTGATCTGCTGTGCTTTTGCCTCGAAGAGCCTTCTGAGGCTTGGCCAAGGCAACGCTCAGGATCTAGGCGACGAGCCTTCGGAGATTCTAGGTGGATTCAGTGCACCCTTTCCATGATTTAAAGGGGGCACCGCGTCAGACTTCAAGCCGAGTATGGAAAGGTTGGGGCTGTGTACACGGCAATTGGGCACCCAGGATGGGCTCTGCCTTGCGTGCTGTGGACGTGGGGCTGCACGGAGTGCGGGGTGTGACTTGTGGTGGCTATCACACCTGCGTGCTGCTGGATGACGACAGCATCAGGCGCCCGCTGAAGGGTTCACCAGCCCCACTTAAAGGATCATGGGACTTAGTAACCAGGGTTATAAACAAGTTAACTATACACTTATAACCCCAATTAGGGTACTTATAACCTTACTTCCTAAGTCCCCTGATCCGTTAAACAGTACCCTAAAACCCGAGATCCCTTGAAGGAACCCTATAGATCCCTTTACGGAGCCCTTTAAGAACCCTTACTTATTGAGTCCCCTGATCCTTTAAGCAAGCCGTTCACTTTCGAGGCTTGCTTGGAGGATCAGGGGACTTAGTAAGCAAGGTTATAAGTACCCTAATCGGGGTTATAAGTATACTTATATAGCTACATTATTTATAACCCTAGTTACTAACTCCCATGATCCTTTACGTAAAGCTGAGGGCCGGGTTTCGTTCAAGCCAACGCCTTGGTGCTGTCTGCAAATCATCCGATCCCTTCGCCTAAAAAAAAGGTTTAGGGTTTAGGGGTTTTGGGGTTTAGGAATTAGTGGTTTTAGGGTTTGGGGTTTAGGGTTTAGGGGTTTTAGAGTTTAGGGTTTAGGTTTTAGAGGTTTTAGGGTTTAGGGTTTGGGGTTTAGGGTTTAGGGACCTTGTCGTAATCAGGTGAAGCATAAAATTAACGTGAGAACGAGGGGATGTCATCAGAAGCACGGACTGCAATGAACACACGGAATCTGCATGAAGACATCTTCAGGTGCTGGGGTGGTAACGACGAAGGGCAGCTCGGCCAGGGAAGCACCGTGAACGTCGGCAATCTACAAGGCAACGGGAAAAGGAGGGACCCTTAATAAAGACCCCTAGGTATATACCCTTAATATACTAAACCCTATAGATCCCTTTAAAGGGAGCCTTATAGATCCCTTTAAAGGAACCCTAAAAGCCTAAGGGTCCCTCCTTTTCCCCTTTGATACAAGGGCAGATGGGAGCAGCCTTGGTGCCCACGGAGCTCTTCGTGGTACTGCTGGGTGCTGGTGATGGACTGTACAACAAAAGGGGCTTAAAGAATTACCAATACTATTTTGAGGGTTCCTTATGATACATATATATATATATATATATATTTTTTTATTTTCTAAAGATGTAGTAACATATACCCCCAAACCCTATTCTAATTACTAAGGCCCCTAAAGTAAAGCAAGGACTCGAAGGCCTGAGCCTTCTACCTGGGCCTGGTGGAGGCTCGAGCTCCAGCGGCCTCTTGCAGCTCTCTCACAACGGGTCCCTTAGGGGTACTTAGAAATAATTTTTGATAATTTTTGGTTACTATACGTTGTTATAATCCCTAAGAAACGGCTAAAATTGTAATTTTTGCTAGGGTTCTAAGTTCAGTATAGGTCCCTGGGCCTCGTCTGCGACGACGGCTTCGATGAGGCCGCTGCGCAAGTCGCCTGCCGTGATTTGGGAATGGCTGGGGGAGAGGCCTTCTCGGAGGACCCAGAGACTCCAATATCCCTTAATTGAGGAATATCCCTTAAATCATATTAGGGATCCTTACTACAAAAGGAAGATTCCTTAACTAAGGGGTATTGGAGTCTCGGAGGATGCGGGTGCCGGCAGCATCATGGCCGACAACATCAAGTGCACGGGCCAAGAGGCGAGCCTGCGCTACTGCCGCTTCCGCGGCTGGCACGTGCACGACTGCTCCTTCCGGGAAGCTGCAGGCAGGGGGCAGGGAGGTGTACTATAGGGGCCTTGATAATTCACTACCTAAACTATTTTGGGTTCCTTATTGTTTTATATCGTTGTAGTATAATGGATTCTAATTATTAGGCCCTCGCATTGGCTGTGTAGCTCAAAGGGTGCTGTACGCTCTGTGGCTCTCTGTGCTCATGCGAGCGGGCGCTTGCGTTTCCTGAGTACTCGTGTTTTGCTTCAGAGAGTGTTTAATTGGGGCCATCATATGCCGGCATAGCGTGGTTTTGAGAAGTCTGGCATGACTTGGGAAACATGTCAATGCACCATCCACAGCTGTTTCTGCTACTGCGCTTGCTGCCAGCGGAACGAACGCTCCCGCCTTATCTGGCCTCATGCATTCTTTTGACTATTGCGGTGTGAGCGTGACTTGTGAGCCAGGAGCCAGCACTTCCAAAGCCCGTCGCAGGATGAACGCACCAAAAGGAAAAACAGCACCACCCGAAAGTGCCACAAGACGGTTTTTCCAGTCTTGCATTGGCCAATGGCTTATAAACAGGCATGAAATGTGCAAGACTCATGGTGGCCCCCCACGGCAGCGAAGTGCAAAACAAAGGGGCATAGAGGAGCAGATGTTTGTTTGCTTTTGTGGCCGTTGTTGCCTGGAGGCATCCGGTGCCAGCTGGATGCATGGAGCGAGTACACGACGGCTGGAGGTCCAGATGGACGGCAAGACTCCTCCATGGTTTGGGACGTCGAGACGCAGTCAGCACTTCTTTTTGGTGGCCATGCCAGCAATGCGTTCCTCTACTTTGAAGACCTCTGGCGCTACGACTGGCTTCAAAGAGCTTGGAGAGAGATCCGGCCCAGCGGCCCGAAACCAAGCACCCGATCGGGGCATGCAGCTGTGTGGGATCCCCGTTCCCGGTCCATGATCATCTTCGCGGGCCGTTTCCTTGCAACCTTCTACGATGACCTTTGGCAATACGTCGAGGACGGCTCCTGGAAGCAGTTTCAGATTGTGGGGGCGCTGCAAGCTCCGCAGGCCCGAGCCTACCACACTGCGATCCTGGACACCGCGGAGAACGCCCTGCTGGCCTTCGGGGGCGAGAGCAGTCAGGTCCTTGGAGATCTTTGGCGCTACAGCCTCGTGGAGAGGCAGACCCTATTCGAATTATTAAGGCCCTCATATAGAACTCTACTATAGATCCCTTATCGTAACCTTTATAGGCAGTGGAGCCAGTCTTTGGCCACGGGGCCAAAACCGGCAGCCCGCAGCCGGCATGGCGCCGCGTGGGCGGCTTTGACCCGGCAAATGCTGGTTTTTGCAGGATGGAGTGGCGATCAGTACTTGGAGGATCAGGGGATTTAGCAAGCAAGGCTAAATACCCTTATTGGGGTTTCCAGTAATTCTACGTATATAGTTACCCTATCTATAACCCTTACTCCCACGATCCTTGAAGTATCCGCAGGACCTGCACTACTATGATTCTTCAGCAGACAGATGGGGCGAAGTGCCAGCCGCTGGACATTGGCCCGCGCCCCGCAGCGGTCATGCGACTGCTTGGGACCCTGTGTCCAAGAGCATGCTTGTAATGGGGGGCACCCAGAACGCCAGCGACGGATTGAGCTACAGCAATTCGCTCTACAACTTCAGCCTTCTCGGTGGCTTCTGGCATGAGGAGGGCTTGCAAGCTGGCGTGCCAGGCCCCTCCGGGCGCGCAGCTCTAGCTATGGTTTGGGACGAGAAGTCCCGTGGCCTCTTCGCTTTTGGTGGCTTCAATGCCTCCTACCTGCAGCAGAGCTGGAGATATGCCGTCAGCCAGACCGACCCACCCCTTGTGGTTCGTTGCGACTTGGGCAGCAACTGCTCCTTTCTTTTCAGGAATGCCCTGGGCATTGGCGTTAAGCACGTCTGCTCCGACTCGGACTTTCTGGACGGACAGCTTTTCGTGGTGTCCGAGGAGGCGAATCGTTGGAGCCTCGAAAGCTCTGATCTCCTTCTGGAGCCTGGGCCTCACCGACTCTGCGCCTGCGAAGGCGGCTGCAGCCATCCTGGCGACTATCAGCTTGCCATCGGCTACTTTCTGGTGCAAGGTCCCTACTCTGACCAATCGGCCCAATGTTACCTGGGCTCCGTCTGCACGATCAACGCTTGGAGAGGCTTCGGCATCTCCGTCAATGACAGCGTCGTCATGCAGAGCCGATGCATGAATGGGGAGGCCTCTATCAACTACCCCTGGGAACGTGCCATTGGCGTTACCTTCAATGATACCTATGGCTGGCACTCGCTGCAAGTCGGCTTGCTGGACCACAGTGCGGGCAAACCAGAGACTGTGGAGCTCTGCTGGTGCCCCTCAAGCAGTGCTTGTGGCTCCACAGCGGACTTTCTGGTGGTGGCACTACGTTTGGAGATCCTCTGCCCTCCGGGGGAGTACACCGGCAGCGGCCAATCGTGCCTGCTCTGCCCGGCGGACCACTTTTGCCCCGGCGGGGGCGTGGAACTGCAGAGCTGCCCTGTCGCGAGCACCTCGCAGCCGGGCTCACGCCCGGCGCCCAGTGGCTACTTATAAGTCCCCTAAGTGCGTTTATCCTAATTATAACCTACTTATAACCTTACTTACTAAGTCCCATGAGCCTTCAAGTACGTCAAGGCTCCAGAAACGACCTGTCTTCTTTCTTCTCCGTGCCCCTGGCCTAGGCGAGCTTTCCGACTGCAAGTGCCTGCGGGGGCATTACTGGACGGGCAGTGCCTGTCTGCTGTGCCCAGCAGGCTCTTCGACATCGCAGGCGGGTCCCTGCAACTCTAAAGGGAACTCCAGAAAGTTGGAATATGGATTAATGGTAGGATCCCCTATAGTTTACCTTAAAGGGGTTACGATAATGATATTCCAACTTTCTGGCTTCTACTGTCGACAATTTCGCTTGAAGCTGCTTTTGGTGCCTGCGTTGGCTCTGCAGCTTGCGGCCTTGGCCTTTAAGAGGATTCGGCTCGACTGCCTAACTTCAGACCAACAGAAACAGCCAGGATCTATGGGAGGTTGAACCCACAAACGATGGTTATCCAATCTGGTGGGAAATTCGCCTTGAGTTGCGATGTTCCGCGGACAAAACAAACAAAAATGACAACGTCGATCGCGGCACAAACATAATTACCGGTATTCTTGACAGGCAATGCAGATCGATCATGCAACACCTCCTCAATTCTTTACCGCGGACCCAAGAAAGAATCGATAGTGGAACTTGTCACATGTCAATGGAACAACAAGGAACTGTAGCACCCTGACAAGTCAGGACGGAGCTACCAGCCTGGATTCCTGCACGTGCATGGCGGGCTTTGTCAACACGCAGCCCGACAACCCAGCAGCCTGTGAGGCCTGCGGTGTGGGCTTCTTTTGCCCAGGCGGTTCGCAGAGCAGGCAGCCCTGTGGCTCTTTTCAAACGACCGCTGGCGAGATGTCGCCGGATCCCTCGCACTGCGTCTGCGAGGCGGGCCGCTTTCTGGATGGAGGGACCTGCACTTTGTGCCCTGTCGGGCGCTTCAAGACAAACATCGGAGACTTCTCGTGCACGCAGTGCGGCGCCGGGACCAGCCACGGCAACATCACCGGACGCGTCGAGCCCTGCAAGTGCCGGCCGGGCTATGGCTTCGAAGAGACGTCGGCGCAGTGCACGGTGTGCCCTCCCGGCGAATACAAATCGACGGTGGGCAACGCACTGTGTAGCCGCTGTGCCAGCGAGAAAACCTCCATGCAGGAGCTTGGGGACCCTAATACACCACCCTAAAAAGTAGGATCCTTATTAAAGGACACCAAAATAAGGTACCCCTAATTTTGCGAAAACCTTCATGCAGGCTGCCACGTCGGTCCTCGACTGTAGCTGCCGGCCGGGCCTGGCGGCACAGGGCAGCCTTTGCCGGGATTGCCAGGTGGGAGTTTCCGAAAATTAGGGGGTATCACATTTTGGGATCCTTATAACAAGGATCCTGCTTTTAATTTGCGGGGTCCCCTATTTTCTGAAACCCCAGGTGGGCTATTTTTGTCCGGGAGGGGGCGAAGAGCGGCAGTGCCCAGACGGCGCCACCTCGCGCGCCCGCTCCGAGCAGCAGGCAGACTGCAGCTGCCTCCCCGGTTTTTTCTTCCGTCCGGACAGCACCTGCGGGCCTTGTCCCGAGGGCTTCTACAAGGAATCCGAGGGCAATGATGCCTTCTGTCCCCGCCAGTGCCCCACGAACTCCAACAGCACAGCTGGTTCCAACAGCCCCTTGAATTGCTTCTGTGACAGCGGCTACTACCCGGAAGTCCACAGCTCGGGGTTCATCATCAGGTGCATTGATTGCTCAATTCTTCCAAACATGGTTTGCCTCGGTGGTCTTCAGGACTCACGGCTCTTGAATGAGACGGGCTCCCACTCCTTGCCAGTTGCCAAAGACGGATTCTTCCAGACAGGAAAAGCCATAGCCATCAAGTGCCGAGTGCGAACTGCTGAGGGTGACAGCGCCTGTATGGGGAGCCAGCCTATCAGAGACTGGGCTCTTGCAAAGAATTTTAATTTAAGTTAAAACCGTGAGGAAACCATATCATTTTACTATAGATCAACCCCTATTATGGTAACATAAACCTTAAACCCTCAAAGGAGCTTTTATTATAGATCCCTTGCAGATCCCTGTTTATGGTGCCTTCCGCAAGAAGAGCCCAGGAGATCCGTGCCAGAGCGGCGCAATCGCCTCGGAGTGCACCGGGTTGGATGGATTGGGCAACTAGGTGGCAATTTGGGAAACTTTTTAATTTCCCTTATGGTTCCTATAGAGGTACCTATTCATAAAAACTTTTCGGAGCCCCAAAACTACAACCCAGGCAACCGATGTGCTGCAGGCTCCCGTGGGATGCTTTGTGGCGAGTGTCCTGTGGGCTGGGCCCGGAATAGCTTCCAGGCCCCATGCCAACAATGCCAAAGCTCCGAGCTCACCCTTGCCTTCTCGCTGCTTTTCGACATTTTTTCGAAGGCCGCCCTCAACTTCATTGTGGCCTCCATGGCAGCCACCGCGGCAGTGCGGGGCAGCGGGAAGCTGCACACGTCCATGATCCGCATCGCCATCCAGTGGTTCGCTGCCTGCTCTGTGATCCAAGTCTTCGACTTAGACCAACTCCGGGGCTTAGCCTTCGAGCTGGCCTATGGAGCGGGCCCAGCGGCCGTTCTGCCTTGGCCGCCTTGGGTACAAGATGCCATCCGGGACTTGCTGGGCTTCTTCTCGCTGGTCCAGCTCCAGCTCTCGGTCCAGTTCCTGGGCCCTAATTTATTTAGTTTAAGTTACCATAATAGGGATCTATTGGCTTCCTTCTTATGGTAACCTAAATCTATAGATCCCCATTATGGTAACTTAAATTGAATTCCTTCACAAGAGCCCAGGTTCTCCTTGCACTGTGTCGCAGAGGCTGCTCTCCCATCGAGCCAGCCCTCCCAGGCCCAAAACGAGGCCTTGGCTATCTACTTCCTCTGCCTGCCCCTGGGTTCTTGTTACGGATGTACTTCAAGTTACCAAAAATGGGAGTTTCCGAAAATTCGGGGTACCTTATTCTGGGGTCCTTATAACAAGGATCCTACTGATTAGGTACTGGATTAGGGTCCCCTATGTTCGGAAACTCCTATATCTTTTACTTTTGATCGCCATTGTGGTAACGTAAACTCAGTTCCTTCAATAACTCTCTTCATATTATTGCATGAGAGAAGTGTGTTGGTTTGTTTCAATTAAAACAAAGTAATGTAATGGATGCGTGTTTAATTGAAAAAAATAACAAAAAGCGCCCAGGCCCTTGTTCACCACCGTGGCGACCGTGACCCTCTGTGCCCTGGCAGTCTACGTGCTGGTGCCCTTGGCGAAACTGAGAGGCTTCAGCTTCAACCGCGTGGACAAGAGGAGATGGGCAAAGCTGAAGGTGGGTACTGCAATTCTCCACCAAACTAGGGAAGGAACCCTAAACCCTAAACCCTAAACCCTTAAAAAAGGGACCCAAACTTAGATAACTACCCAAAATCCCGTAGTTCAAGCTTACCGTAGGAGTCGGGAGCTTCAGGTCATGCCCTAAACCCTAAACCCTAAGCCTTAACCCAAACTTAGACAACACGGTTGATGATATAAATCCTGCATTGCCTTAAGGACCCTAAACTATGGGAAATATGGTATATTCCTTTTTATGGGTAATGCAGGATTTATGTCATCAACAGTAACCCTAAACCCTAAACCCTAAACCCTAAACCCTAAACCCTGAACCCTAACCCCAGGTCATGCAGAAGCTGAAGGATGCCTTGGAGCCCACGCTGCAGGCCTGCGATCTGAGCTGGGACGATGTCGAGAACTCCGGGATGCTAGAGGTGAGCCTGGGGCCACCTCTAAAGGGATCCTTTAAGGGTTCCTTAAACGGGTCTATAAGGGTTCTATCAAGGGTTTTGGGGTTTAGAGTTTCCGAAAATTTGGGGTACCTTATTTTGGGTCCTTATAAAAAGGATCCTACTATTTAGGGTACTTCTCTAGGATCGCCTTTTGCGGAAACTCCCAGGTGAGCCTGACGTCTTTGCAGGAGGCGTTGGCGGATGCCAGCATGCTCCTGAGCGTAAGCCTAAGGGACTTTCAATCAACCCCCGTTTTGAACCCTGAACCCCACTTAAAGGGCTCCTTAAAGGGCTCCTTAAAGGGATCTGTAGGGTTCCCTTTAACCTTATTTATAGCCCTAGTTACTAAGTCCCATGATCCTTTAAGTATCTTTGGTCTACAGCTCGCCGGCGCCTTTGCATCGCGTTTTCCCGGCTTTCAGAGCCTGTGAGGTTTCTGCAGCGGGGCGCCGCTGCGTCACCCCAGTTCTTGCTGCGCGCGCTGCGGAGGGAGGTCGGCGGAGCAGAGTGCTTCGATATCCCTAACCAAAAACTCGAACCGTTCCCTATAAGCCCCACAGACTCTACAGAATCAGCGACATTACCAAATCTTATCCCGGTTTTTCGGGAGGCGTGTGAGCTGGGCTTCGGGGACGTGGCGGCGCCGAGGCAGCTGGTGCTGGGGGCGGCGCAGGACGCGTTGCAGGCGGAGGAGGAGCGCGGCCCGGAGGCCCTTGCAAACCCTAAACCCTAAAACCCGAAAACCCTAAACCCTAAAAGCCGAAAACCAGGAATTCGGAACTTGAAAACCCTAAACCGAGCATCAGAGCACCCCGACCCGTTCTTGGAGGATCAGGGGACTTAGTAAGTAAGGTTATAAGTCCCCTAACTGGGGTTATAAGTACTTATAAGTATAGTTACCTTAATTATATCCTTAGTTACTAAGTCCCATGATCATAGTTACCTTAATTATAAGCTTAGTTACTAAGTCCCATGATCCTTTAAGTGGGAGGAGGACTTCAAGCGTTTCCTGGCCCGGGCCTTGGGGCTCCTTCTTGAGCGGCTTGAGACGGAGCACCGCGAGGAGGACTCTGACTTTGAGTGCGAGGACTTGGAGGCAAGGTTATCATTATTATTATTATTATTACTATTATTATTATTATTATTGTTATTATTATTATTATTATTATTACTATTTTGTACCCTAATTGGGGCCCTAAACCCTAAACCCTAAACCTTAGTATGCAGACTCAAAGAGGCCCTCCAAAAAAAAAGAGACCTTAGTATCGTTACCTTAGTATCGTTACCTTAGTGATTGCGCTCCATGATCCCTTCAGGAGAGCAAGGAAGAGCTCCCCGGAGGAGTGGGGAGGTCCACCGTTAAGCTGCCAGGCTGCAGATGTGCCATGTGCTTAAAGGATCATGGGACTTAGTAACTAGGGTTATAAATAAGGTAACTATAATTATAACCCCAATTAGGGTACTTATAACCTTACTAAGTCCCCTGAGCCTTCAAGTGGGGTTTTGGGAGCGGGGGATCCTGGCACATGTCGCACACCTCCACGCTGAGTCAGATCCAAGGAGTGTGGATAGCATCAAGATCCAGAAGGCTGGGTTCTTGCTATGGAAGTTACCATCATGGGGACTTACAGTAAATGAAAAGTGCTCTCCTTATTAATACCCTAAACCCTAAACCCTGAACCCTAAACCCTAAACCCTAAACCCTAAACCCTATTACAGTATGGTAGCTTAAAGTAGATCCCTTAACAAGAGCCCGAAGGACTTAGACATGGACGCAGAGATGGACACGCTCGACTTCGGCCTCTTCCATGCAAAGCCGAATCTGCGAGTGCTCATCTACCAGAGCATGCCAGTGGTTTGGATCGGCCTGTCGATGGCTTGGCCTGTTCTTCTATCCGGCTTTCTCAGGCTTTTGTGGTGCGTGCCCATTCCAGAGGGCGACGGCATGCCCACATTGCGGCTGCTTCCGAGCCCGGACATCATCTGCAGCTCTGATGCACACGAGCTTACGGCGACTCTTGCTCTGACAGGGCTCCTGGTGTGGTGCCTGGGCATCCCGCTGGCGCTCTTCCTAAGAGTGCTGGCCCTAAGAGACCGGCACGCCCCCGAAACGTACAGGAGGTATGGTTACTTTATTCAGGCCCCCTGGGCCTCCTGTGCACACCACGCATTGAGTGCAGTTAGCATCATATAAGCAGTGCCCATGGTAACATGATCCGTCACAGCTTGGCAGGGCTACGAGCCGCAGTTCTGGTATTGGGAGCTGGTGGTGAAGCGCATCTAGGTGGCAATTTGGGAAACTTTTTTAATTTCCCTTATGGTTCCTATAGAGGTGCCTATTCATAAATACTTTTCAGAGCCCCAAAACTACAACCCAGGCATTGCATCTAACCTTTGATATTGGAGGAGCTAAGGAGCCAGGGATGATGATAATCCCTATTGAATAAGGAGCTAAAGAGCCCAGGGAACCCCAAAACCACTGGTTAGGCATTGATGTTGGCCTTGTGATGCTTTTCACCTACACGGCGGTCGTGCCGGATGCCGAGGCCAAATTGCTGCTGCTCCCTTTGTTGTCAGGTTTCCAAACCATTACCACAGCTTGGCTGAAGCCATACGCCAACAGCCAGAACCAGATCCTTGACTTTGTGGACGTGTACTTGGGCACTGTGCGGTTCATCCTGTTCAGTTGCATCGCGGCTCTGCTGATCCTACGGCCGGGAGAGAGGCCGACCCACGCTCTCGCCGCCTTTTTGCTGTGCATGCTCCTGGCCACGATCACATACCTGGTCCTTCACGTTCTTGTTCAATTCCTCCGGCATGCAGCCGTCGATGACCACAGCTCGAGCTCGGAAGGGACAGAGCTTGCAAAGCTCAGCCCCCTGAGCGGCAAGAGCCAGGGCGTTGGTTCTGAGCGTTAGGCCCTCAAAGCATGTGGATTTCCTGTCGCTTTATGGCGCTTTCTGAGGTTCCTTTCGGCGTGCGGCTTTGCAATTCATCTTGCTCGCCTTTCAGCCCGCGGACAGCGAAAACATTCGCATCAAGTGGTCTTTCGAGGACACTCGAAACTGCTTCCAGTTTGCTCTTGTATAACTAGCAGAAAACGAGATGGTTCGGGCCGATAGTGGGGGTTCCGAAAGCAATAGTAATTATTTACCCTAGATAGTAGGATCTCCCAAGTGTTGTGATTTCGGAGGACGCCGTGATTTCGGCCACTGCGGCTCCGACGGAAGCGGGCACTGCGACAACCAGAGCCGCCCCGCGATCCTTGGCCAGAGGTTTAAATCAAGCTCTCGAGACCCTCTTAACATACTTTAGTATACACAGTTCATGGTTTTTAATGTTTTAAGTCAAGGGCTTGGGAATATCATAATCTAAGGAATATAATGCCTGTAAACTTGCTTCTTCTAGAAGAGCAAATCACTTCCTAACGCGTTTCTAGGCTCAAAGAGCTCACCAATACTCCGCCAACTCTACACCCGAAACCCTAAACCCTAAACCCTAAAACCTAAACCCTAAACCCTAAACCCGAAACCCTAAACCCCACACCCTAAACCCGAAACCCTAAACCCCACTGGACGCGTTTCGAGGCTCGAAGAGCTGGCTGTCCTTGCGAAGCCTACGGGCCAGCGTACTCCGCTTCGGCCCCGGTAGCCAGGATAAAGCTCTCCTAAAGGCTGGGTTCAGGGTTTAGGGTTTTGGGTTGAGGGTTTAGGGTAACTATACTTAAAACCCACATTAGGGGACTTAACACCGTACTTATAACCACCCGTGAAGCGCAATTCTTTGGGTAGTCCTCTAAATTTGGGTTCCTTTTTTAGGGGTTCCTTAAAGGGATCTATAAGGGGACCCAGGGAGGCGGGTTTAGGGGTTTAGGGGTTAGGGGTTTAGGGGTTTAGGGTTCAGGGGTTTAGGGTTTTGCGCCTATAGCTAGTTGAGCGTCCAGGGCTCACAGTAGCATTTAGGGTTTAGGGCTCTCCTGAAGGCCAACGAGGAGTTCACCGCGTTCCTGCTGCAGGAGCCATTTTTTCGAGATCCACTTCATTTTTAGATTTATGTTTTTCCTTTGTGGTTTAAGCGCAACCCTAAACCCAAAAACCTCCTGCCGCAGGAGCTAGGCCAGCGTGAGCTTCCCAGCGAGAGCGGCAAGCTGCTGTGCGTCCTCGCGACCGCGGGCCGCAATCTGTCGACTCTGGCCAAAACGCGTGTAGGCAAAGCGTGGCTGGAGGCAGTCCGGTTGATAGAGTCGAGACAGTTGAGGGTTTCAGGGATTACGGGCTGCATATGTCCTTTTCATATCTTGACACCCGTGTTCAAGACAAGTGCAGCTTCAAGTGAGCCGCATTGCTGGAGGCCGTCCTCACCATGGATGAGGCGGGGCACGGCAAGGTCTGCGCGCCGGAGGACTTGGAGCGAGCCGTTGCGCGACTGCGGCAGATGCCGGGCAAGGACGCGCATCAGCTGATCTTCAGCGTGGCCAGACTCTGTGCAGAGCACGTGGTGATGGCAGGGCTGGTGCGCAAGGGGGCCACGCTTCCGGATGATCCCAGCCAGGTCGGGAGTTTTGGTCAGTGAAAAGCCGTAAAGCTAACAGTGATAGAAGTTAACTAGACACCGCGACTGAGGTGTTGAGCAGCCTCCGCAAGACATTGCTCTCGGAGTGGACTGCTGATGAGATGGTGGCTCAGGGCGTTGACGGAGATGCAGACGATACAGGCCAGCTCGAGGACGAGGTCGAAGAGGTGGCAGTCGAGGCAAGTTGTCTCGAGGAAAACGACGAGGTGGCGACCCCACAGAGAGCTTCGCAGAACGAGGACCAGTTGCTGGAGGTGTAAGCAATGCACGAAGACTGCCCCTCTGCTGTTCTGCTTCGTCTCACTCATTAGGTCCACAGGCTATAGGATTTAGGATTTCACAGATGATGAAATGATGAAATATCATCTCCAATCGGTGAGGTTTTTTAATCCGGATGCCTCAAGGGACACGGCTTTCCCTGGTCAAGATTGGGAAGTGCACCGGACTATCCAGAACATCAAGGGGCTTGCTCAGGGCGCTTGCTTCAATGCATTGTCCAGTTTCTTGATCATGATAAGATTCGCTTCGAAATGCGATCGTTTGTAATTATTGCTATATGAAGACCTTTCATTACATACTGACAAGTTGGTTTTTGTTCGGGAAGTCTATCGTTTCATACTCATATTCAACTCATAAGAGTTCTGATTTGCTTCTGCGAAAGATTCTTTGTAAACAAACATAGATTATATATTTTGAGGCTGACTCGTTGTTTCTAGTAGCCTGGCAGTTTTGACGAGTCTTAATCTTGCCGGTTCCTTCCTTTCTGCCTGTCTGGCCGGGGGCCGGCCTGGCCGCATCCTGCGCTGCCGGGGCTTTCTTCTCTCGGGGGGTTTTTATTCCACGTGCCTCAAAGGGACACGGTTTTTTCCCCTCGGTCTCACAAAGCCGGTAGCTTTCCGAGTCTTGTGAGGAGGCCCTGCGTAAATCTGGCAAGAAAAAGATATAACTCCTGGTGAAGGAGATTTGTTTGATATTTATATCTTCTAGAGACTGGGAAGCTCCACAACTTGATCAGTCCCTATGTGTTATACTTTCCAAACATTTGTTCACAGTTCTGTCTGGCTGACGTCATCATCTCCGATGCATTCTACATCGTGGGGGAGTTGCATGAGCGGCATAGGTTCACGACGCCTAGATCGGAGGCAGCCTCGCGCAGGAAGCATACAATGCACATGTGTCCATGCAGACGTACCTGTCCTGTGCCCCGACCTTGGGTCATCTGCGATCTGATCCCCAGCACCTCAAAGTATCGATCCCTGGCCGCGTTTTGGTTCAAGGGACATCGGCGGGGTGGGCTCGCGTAGTCTAGGACGGGTGTCAACATGGTGATCCTGGACGGAAGGTGTCTGTCAGGAGCTTGGATTTTACGCATGAGAGGGTGCTTTGTACGGCAACATCGGCCGAAAACGCGGTTTTTCGTCGGGATGCAAGCGCATGTCAGGTGCGTTGAAGCTTGCTGTTGCCTTGAGCTACCTGCTCAGTTGCAGAAAGCATCACAATACCAAACCTAATGCTAGTCATAGTTAATAATGCGTATCAGTTCTTATTGCGCACGCGATTGCCCTGCCGGGGCATTCTGTTACGAGGTTGGCCAGGTCGGCTGACGTCAGAGTGCTTGCTGACTTCTACCGTTCCTGCAGCCGAGGTCCTACAAAGCCCCTCCATGCCTGCGGGCAACCAAAGTGTCGAGCCAAACTAGGTGGCAATTTGGGAAACTTTTTAATTTCCCTTATGGTTCCTATAGAGGTACCTATTCATAAATACTCTTCAGAGCCCCAAAACTACAACCCAGCAAAGAAGGGAGCCAGTTGGCAAACTTGCTTCTCAGTAGTTATGCGTGGATTGCGTGGGAAGCTTCAGGGAGTTTCAAGTCGGGGTCCATGATTCGCATAATTTTTCTTTTTAACCCTAAACCCTAAACCTATTTTTTTTGTGCATGGTTGCCAAGACAAAGTGTGCAGTGCTGCAGGCCCTTTTCAACGCTGACGTCCGAGCTACAACGCGGAAAGGCTGACTCCAAAGCACGTCCACGTTTCACCTGTCATCACACCAAAAAATGGCTGCCCGAGGTTGGGGGCCATGGCTATGACTCCATCGATGCCTACGGTTTCTGACTATTGGGGCTCCAATCCGAAGCGATGCTATGGTCTGGTCTCCATAAAGACTCAGTGCTAGGATCAGTCCATCTTCGCACCGCAGCATAGGGAGCACCCAAACCCTAAACCCCCAAGCTAGAGGGACGTCAGACGAGCTATGGGCAGCAGCATTCAGACGAGTCGGCTGCTCGAGACCCTTAAATTTGAAGGGCAGCCGAGGAGTCACCCGAAGAGGTTTTAAAGCTTTAAGCCCTAGACACAAGTTGCTGCTGCTGAAGGCTGCTAGTTTAGGCTCGGTTGTTGCTATTGGTGCTGTTTGTGGTGCTGTGTTCCCGGGATTTCACAGCACCAGCAGTGCTGCGCTGAGCTTTTCGCCCGCAAGAGAAAGGGCGTAGGTCAAATCCACAGCTCATCATCTACGGTGTTTCCCTGAACCATAAACCCCAAAGCCATGCTGGAGTTGTTAAGGTTTGCATTTGAGCTTGTTCTTCTATCACTTACTTAGAGGATCTATCCTAATTATAACCTACTTATAACCTTACTTACTAAGTCCCATGAGCCTTCAAGTAACCCCTATAGATTCCTCATAGCTCGCCGAACAACGCATCTTTGCCTTCCCGTGGGGGCCGCTTCTTCTCGGTTCAAGGGACATCGGCGGGGCGGGCTCGCATAGTCTAGGACGTGTCAACATGGTGATCCTGGACGGAAGGTGTCTGCCAGGAGCTCGGGCTTTAGGCTTCAGGGGGTTTAGGGTGTTAGGGTTTTAGGGTTTAGGGTTTAGGGTTTAGGGTGTCTAGGGGTTTAGGGCTTAGGGTGTCTAGGGGTTTAGGGCTTAGGGTGTCTAGGGGTTTAGGGCTTATTTTGGTTTAGGGGCTCAAGGCTTGAGGGCTCAGGGTGCTCGGAAGAGTGCTTTGGGAAGACTCTCATCGTGCCGAAAACGCCGTTTTTCGTCGAGATGCAAGAACCCCCAAGCCCAAACTCTAAAACCCAAACCCCTAAATCCCCAAAGCCCGAAACCAGAAAACCCTAAACCCCAAAACCCTACACGTGAGGTGCGTTGGATCTTGCTGTTGCCTTGACCTACCGGTTCCCAAGCTGGACAGCAGCAAGGAGATGCTTTGCTGCAGACAGGGTGGCACTTTGGGAAACTCTAAGATGCCTTTGTGGTCTTCGAGAATGAGACTCATAGACTTATAGACCGGTTTAGGGTTTAGGGTTACTTATAGAGGTACCTATTCATACATCCTGTTTTTGGGGCCCCACATCCTGTTACGAGCTTTTGCTTTTTTCAGAGGGCTTGCTGATATTCTGTCCCTTATACCCTAGCTCCCTAAACCCTAAATCTTATACCTTAGACCTTGAGCCCTATACCCTAAACCCCCTAAACCCTGTTCCTGCAACTGAGGTCCTACAAAGCCCCTCCATGCTTGCGGGCAATCAAAGTGTCGAGCCAAAGAAGCTTCCTGAAAGCATGCAGAGTTTACATGGAGGTTCAGGCGACTTGGTAAGTAAGGTTGTAAGTGCCTTAGTATAGCTACCTTTTTTATAACCCTAGTTGCGCAGCCCCATGAACCTTTCCTTTAAGTAGGCGCCACTTCACGGATCAGGGACTTCCGAACTAATGTTATCAATACAGTAACAAATACTCATAATTATGACCCCGGTACTTATATCCTTATGTATTAAGTCCCCTGATCCTACAAGTGGGGTTTGCCGTCCTTTGTCGAGGGTCTAAAGCTGAGATGCAGGATCTAGCAGCTGTCCAGGAATGCACTGGCAGTGCTGCATAGTGCTTCATAGAACCCTTGTAGCTCCCTTTAAGGAACCCGTAAAGGATCCCTTTAAAGAGTGCTGCCAGGCTGCTCGCAATCCGTTGGTAGCCGTTGCGGCGCCCCTCATCGTAGGAGCTCGTATCCGCCCTGTAAAACACCAAACCTCCGTTCTGAAGCCGACGGTGTCACAAACCTTTTTTTCAGAAGCCCTACGGTTGATGATATGAATCCTTCATGACCTTAAGGACCTTAAACTATGGGAACTATGGTATATTCCTTATTATGGGTAATGCAGGATTTATACCATCAACCGTATAGCACCCTAAACGTTATACCCCTCAACATTGAAGTCTACCCTCGTAAAGGAACCAAGGGGCCCTTATAGTGAGAATCCTTGCAGAGGCTTGCACCCTTGTTCCATCCCCGAAAGATTGGGTTGAGCGCTTACTGGTTTCTCATAAAGCAACCTCAGTTAGGATACTATTATGCCGCGTTATTTACTAGAGATCCCTGCCAAGGTAACATGAATTAAACTCCTAAACCCTAAACCCTAAACCCTCAACTAAGGTAACATGAATTAGATTCCTAAACCCTAAACCCTCAACTAAGGTAACATGAGTTAAATTCCTTAAGAAGAACCCAGTTTAGGGGTGGTCCTTAGTATCCCTAAACCCCAAACCCTAAAGCCCTACTAAAGCCCCAAACCCGATTAAGACCCCCTGCCCCCCCCCCCCCCCCCAAACATCACCCGGTTGGGGTACTCGCATCCCAAGGTTTGGCGAGCGAAGAGACCAGAGCAGATGACAGGCTGATGGGAGACTTCGCAACTACGGTTTCTTTGCGATGCAGTGGGGTTTAGGGTTTAGGGTTTATGGTCCAAGGGTAAAATGAGGGACTCGTAATAAGGACCCCCAGGTATATACCCTTAATATAGCTATCACAGTGTGTCTATGGTCATAGGAGGCCAAAATGGGTTTCAGCCTATGGGGGTTTAGTAGGGATTAGGGTTCCCATAATAGGGTTCATATTAAGGAATCCCTACCCCAAGAATCTTAAACCCCCCTTTTGGCCTCCCATCATATGGAGTTTGGGGTCTACAGGGTTTAGGGATTGGGGCTTGCGCTTTTGGGGATATAGGGGGTAGAGAGTTTAGGATACAGGACTCAGAAAGGATTGTTGCAGGTGTATTTCTTTCCTAGGGGCTTTTCGGGTTTAGGGTTAAGGTTTCAGCGGTTCCAGGTTTCAGGATTTTAAGGTTCAGGGTTTGGGGTTTTGGATGTTCGGTTCAGGGAGCGGTTTGTATTTGCGTGTGTTAGGGGTCCCATCCAATCGTATCATCTTCGGGAGCAGCGCGATCTGCGCGGCAAGACAGTATAACACTAACGCCTACCCTTCAAACCCTAAATAAGCCCTTAGCGGCCCCAAATCCTAAACCGAAACCTCAACTGAAACCCTACCTGTAGCCGGAAACTTTTGAGGGTTCCTTGCTCAAAAAAGGTAGGTCTTTTTGGCTACAGGAAGTCACCAACCCATCGAAATCTCCAAGATGCTATTCCTAAAATCAGGGACCCTATATTACTAATGGACACTTTATAGGAACCCCTTCAACTCAAACCCTAAACCGAAACCTCAACCCTAAACCCTCAAACCCGCAAACCCTCAAACCCTATATCCCTAAACCCGAAACCCCTAAACCCGAAACCCCTAAACCCCTAAACCCTCAAACCCTCAAACCCCTAAACCCCTAAACCCTCAAACCCTCAAACCCCTAAACCCCTAAACTCCTAAAGCCAAAGCCCCAAAGTAGCCAGGTCGAGCCGAACAACCTCCCGGGATGCCTCGGGGCAGTGGATAGCCGACGTTGAGCTGTATCCCGCCCGCAGCAAAACTTGGGGTTTAGTGGGTTTAGGGTTTTAGGGTTTTAGAGTTTTAGGGTTTTAGGGTTTAGGTCTTAGGGTTTAGGGTCTGAGTTGAGGGTTTGAGGTTTCGTGGTTTCGGGCTTGGGGTTGGGGGTTTTTGATGTTCTTGCGGCTTTTGGGGTTTATTTGTTGGGTTGTAGGTTTTGGCTCAAAGAGGCTCCATACACCATACACCGAACCTTTCATGGGCTGCAAGCTCGATGCCCGGATGCGGGTGGTGCGCTGAAAGTCATGACCCCCGCTTAGAGGTCCTCGTTTAGAGAGCCCACCAGCCTAGCATAAAACCCTGAAAAGCGGTCCAAGCCCTAAACCTTAAACCCGAAACACCGAAAACCTGGACAGCCACAACATCCATAGAGAGCCTTATCCGGTCCCCGAACACCTCTGATTAAGCCCTGGCACCAAATCTTAGCTGAAGCCCTGACGCCCAAAACCCTAAAGCCCTAAAGTCCTACAGTTCTAAACCTAGACCCTAAACCCTCAATCCCCAAACCCTAAAGCCCATACAGAGCCAACCCCTTTCCAGAATCCTTGTGGAATTCCCCAAAGGAGGCGGCACCCTCATGAAAAAGGTCACTAAAAGGTATTTTAATTAAGAGAGCTACTCCTGTAGAGCCATAATAGGACCCTTCTGGAACCCTTATAGAGCCCTCTAAGGAACCCTAGGCAAGGACCCAAATTTGGAGAACTAGCCTCATAGAAACCCTTCTAGAACTAAACCCTAAACCCTTCTGGAACCTTTCTACTTGAAGGCTCATGGGACTTAGTAAGTAATGTTATAAGTAGGTTATAATTAGGATACCCCCACTTAGGGGACTTATAACCCCAGTTATAACCTACTTACTAAGTCCCATGATCCTCTAAGTAAGCACCGATGTATCGCCCGCTGGAGGACAGGTTCTGGATTGCAGTTCTATCGCACCAGGAGGCCGCGAGTTAGAGGGTTTTGTGTTTGGGGTTTAGGGTTTTGGAGGGTTTTGTTGGGTTTCATGGGGTTCCTTTTTGAGGCGGTTCGTGACGGATTTTTTGTAGGTTTCTGTAGGGTGTTGATGAGGCTGCTGTTGAGGGTTCTTACAGGGGTTTTAGGGGTTTCATAGAGTTTTTGTAGCGTTTATAGGATTTTCAATTGACCCTTAGAACGATTTTAAAGAATTTGAAGAAGATTTGATTCCATGAGTTTAGGGTCTTGGGGTTTAGGTTTTGGGTGTGGCCAGGCTACGCAGGCGTAAGCCCTGAAGCCTTAAACTTTAAACTCCCCAAACCCTAAACCCTAAACCCTAAACCCTAAACCCTAAACCCTAAACCCTAAACCCTAAACCCTCTATCCCGAAGCCCTGAACCCTAGACTCCAAAAGGCCTCATGCCCTGAATGCCCTACAAGCTTTAAACGCCCCAACCGGAACCTTAACCCCCAACCCCTGAACCCCAAACACTAAACCCTAACCCCTGAACCCCAAACACTAAACCCTAAACCCTGAACCCCAAACACTAAATCCCAAACCCTGAACCCCAAACACTAAACCCCAAACCCTGAACCCCAAACACTTACTACACCCTAAGCTCTTAAGAAAAGCCCTACACACCCTAAAAGCCTGATCCAACAGGTTCGTCGCGATGCCTACCCTCATCACCAGCGACGACGAGTACAGCAGTGCCGAAGAGAGGCGGGTAGTCGGGTTTAGGAGTCTTTATTTGTATTTTTTTTTGGGGGGGGACTTGCGTTTAGCGGTTTAGAGGTTTAGGGTTTATGGGTTTAGGGTTTAGCTTCGCGGGGTGTTCCGTGCATGAAGATAGGCTCAGACAGAAAGTATGGAGGTAGATGTACATCTTTATGAGCCCCAAGCACCACATGTTTCAGGGTTTCGGGGTGGAGCCTTGCTTCTTCATCCGAACTAGCTGACTAGCTTGTTCCTTCTTGAAGGTTTTAGCTTCTAAACCCGAAGCCCTTAACCCCAAGCCCATAATCATGTACCCTAACCAAACCCCAAGCCGATAATCCTGAAACCTAACTAAACCTCAACTAAACCCCAAGCCCATAATCAAGAACCCTAACTAAGCCCCAACTTAACCCCAAGCCCATAATCCTGAACCCTAATTAAACCCCAGCTTAACCCCAAGCCCATAATCCTAAACCCCAACTTAACCCCAAGCCCATAATCCTGAACTCTAACTTAACCCTAAGCCCTAAGCCCCTCACCCCAAACCCTTAACACTCTGAACCCTAACTAAACCCTAAGCAACAAGAGCTGCATGGACTGCCAGCCACCGAGTCCCTCTAACTATTCCTTTATTACTACTACTTAAAGGATCATGGGACTTAGTAACTAGGGTTATAAATAAGGTACCTGTACTTATAACTACTTATAACCCCAATTACGGGACTTATAACCTTACTTACTAAGTCCCATGATCCACCAAGTATTGCTATTACAATTGCTGCTACCAGTACTGTTACCAGTATCATTGTTATTACTATGACGACTCCTACTACTATTTCTATTGTTATTGTTATTGTTATTGTTATTCTTGCTATTCTATTATTACTATTACGATTACTATTGCTATTGTTAAACCCTGCATCCGAGAGCTTCCGCTTCCCAAACTGTTACCCATCGCAGCACCCTCAACGCCTAAAGCCCTCAGTCATTCGTCAAACCCCTAAAGCCTTCAAAAGCATCAAAGAGGTGACACCTAACTTAGAAGGGGCCCCCCACCCTGTAATAGTGGTATAATAGGAATATAATGGGGCCCTAATATAATCCTTATAGTCACTATTGCAGGGTGCGGGCAGCTTCTAACACCTAACATTCTTCATCAGAGAGCATATCTATGTACAAAAGCATTGTTGGCTTCACAGAGCCCTGACATAATCCTGTGAAGCCATGGAGAACATTGCAAAGTTGTCCAACTTTCCATGAGACCCCACAATGCTTCCTTAAACACTTCAATCCTGTTAACCTTATGTTAATCCTATCATAACCATGTCACGCTTCCTATCAGAACAAAGAAGATTCAACATCTGGTTCAATCTGGTAAAATCCTAAGAAAGCCAACCTTTGACACCTGACCCAAAGGCCCTAACCGCAGAGCCATCATTGCAAAACAAGCCCTCAGAAAGAACAGCTGCGCGCTGTAAGACTCTATGAAGCCTTCTTATACCATACCATTCTACAACCCAGAACCCGAACGAGAGTTACATTCAGCTATAGGGGGGCTTCCGAAAATAGGGGACCCTAATCTAGTACCCTAAGTAGTAGGATCCTTATTAGAAGGACCCCAAAATAAGGTATCCCTAATGTTCGGAAGCTCCCATATACCCCTACAAGACTCCACAAAGCCTTCTTCAGCACCTTGAGCCCGACACCCCGGCCCAAAGCCCCCTCCCTACCGTTGATGATATAAATCCTGCATTACCCATAATAAGGAATATACCATAATTCCCATAGTTTAGGGTCCTTAAGGTCATGCAGGATGTATATCATCAACCGTATCAGCTCCCAAATCTTTGCTCTTGGAGGTCTGAAGGCGGCGACTCAGGCCGGGCAAAGATCAGGCGCTTCTACTGGGAGCCTGGGCTAAGCCCTGACAATTTACTCCAAGGATCATTGGACTGGACTTAGTGACTTAGTAACACAAAGGGGTCCTTAAAGGGTTCTAGAAGGGATGTACAGGGGGATCTGCAGGGGTTTAGGGCTTAAATATTCACAAGGCGGCTATACTTGCAACAACTCGCAACCCCTATTAGGCTACTTATAACCTTACTTACTAAGTCCCTTGATCCTCCGCATAGGGTTTCGAGTTCAGAGTGTGGCTGGGAACCGGGTTTTCGGGTTTTAGGTTGTTGCTGTTCTACAGGGGCTAGGGTGTTTAGGGCTTCGGGTTCAGTCTTGGGGTAGCTAGTATTGCTCTCATATCTCTTTTTTGATGCCTGTTTTTAAAGCGTCGTGTTCGCTTTGTTGATCAGGGCTCTCTTGTTGGGCCGTTTCTGGCCACTCTTCGAGCGGACGGTGAGACTGACCTAGAACCACAGTGCCAGTGCCATGAAAGGGTTCAACACAATTGTTTAGGGTTTAAGTTTAGGGGCTAGTGTGCAGAGGCATCAAATCCGTTGGAGTTTCGGGTGTAGGGTTCCGGGTCTTTGGTTGGATGCAGCCACGCTCATGCATGTGAGGCGGGCTTTCTTCGACGAAGGCACTTGTCATTGGTGAGTGCTGGTGATGAGCGCGAGTCTCAGCACGGGCCTTGCATCAGATCCTATGTCCTATGTGCACCGTAAGGCCTTCACCTTAAACCCAAATATAGGGGCCTAAATAAGTACCTGTACTGTGTTAGGGGTTCCTTAGTATAATTAAAGTTTCATGGGCCCCAAAACCTCAGTCTAATGATTAAGGCGCCTATACTATAATACCCTTATATCCCTTTAAAGGGAAACCTTTAAAGGATCCCTAGACCAAAATAAGGCCCCTATATTACACCCTAAACCCCGTGCCTGCAACCCTCTGAGGTTGCGACGTGATCCAGACAGTGAACGGGTTCCCCTGCTCTTAGCAGGGCCTCCTTTCGTGGACTGGTCGCTCTCATAACACTGTCCCTTACACAGAAGTCCTCTTTGAGCCGCATATCTACTTGCACCGGTATGCATAGCTATTTTTTTGTGCGTCGCTCATTTTTGGGAGCGCCCGTCTTTTGTGTCCTCCGGCAACGTGGCTGAGTTTGAAAGAGAGTTTGTCCACCTGTGCCTTGATGGGCTTTTGGCCCAAAGGACCTGCATGCAACTAGTGGCTTTGACTTCATGTTTAAAGTCTTGATCTCTTTCAGGTTGCGACCTGGGAGCAATTAAGTGTGCTATCCCATTCCGTCGAAATGCAGAAGTCCTCATGTCAAGTGGCAGGTCCCCAAACACAACGAGAGTCCCAAGCCCTATAGGTACGGTATCCGCACGGCGTCTTCTCTCAGATTTCGACGGGAAGTGGAACGAGAAACCTCTTGAGCTCTGCGTGAGCGATAGTTCGGGCCCTTTGAAGCCCTTCGCGTGTGCAGCGTAAGCTCAAACCTCAGGGGGAAGCGAAACAAGCCAGGCAAACCCTGAAGACGAAACCCTAGACCTTAAACCACCCCGCAACAGCTTGCAAGCTTATGGGGGGCTTTTGTTGATGTGTCAGGCCACGGATCTTTGAGCATGTGCTGATAGCTTTGCAAAGTTGATTTTTGCCAGTCTTGGCTTTGAAAGAGCCTTTGATCAGCGAGACTCCAAGAAGGCAGCATTTCTTTTCCAATGCGACGCTGCTTTTGACGCGGATTCCGCGCGGGGTTCGATGCCAAGCTTGTGAATGGAAGGCCTTTCGTTCTGCCTGGTCATGGTTTGGGGTTTAGGGTTTAGGGTCACCGTCAGTCATGGTAGACATGCTCCCAATCCTCACTAAGAACGCTCCGAAGCCCGGTTTTGGGGTGTACTTAAAGGATCATGGGACCTAGTAACCAGGGTTATAAATACTCATAATCCCAATTGGGGGACATATAACCTTACGTACTAAGTCCCCTGATCCTCCAAGTATGCCTGTTGATCAGTGCCTGTCTCCACAGCGCCCATTTATCCCAAGAGCATTGAACGAAAGACTTTCTGGCTTGATCACCACTGGATCGAGCACTTGGTTTCTTTGCGCCGTTGCTGTGACTAATCGCACAGATGGTGGAAATGTCAGCAACCGTGTTGCTTCGGATTGTTTCAGGAGATGGCTGTAGCAGTGCAGCGGCACGGCGCGGTGGGGTTTGGTCCCTTGCAGCACCAGTGCCGTGATTGCTGCATGTTGAAACGGAACCGCAGCATCTCCGCGAAGTACAGAACATAGTATAGGGGCCTTAATAATTACCTATAATATTCTGGTGGTTCCTTCTTACACTTATAGTATATTGGGCCCCGAAACCCCATTCTAATTATTCAGGGCCCCATATTAGGAAACCTCTTGGCCGAAGACGACCAACTCTTCAGTCATGAGAACCAGGATCGTGCTTGAAAGGCAAATCCCTGCCAGGCATTGGGTCTTTTCGTGGGGGGTTTAGGGTTTAGGGCCTTTAGGGTTTAGGATGTAGGGGTTTAGGGCCTTCAGTGTGAACAACAGCAGAACCACTTGGTTCCCTTGCACCTGGCCACAAAGTTGAGCCCGTACCCAAAAAAATAAATCCTAACGCCTGATTTTTCAGACCCTTTTTCAAAAAAACCCTGAGCCAGGCTCTTACAGATCCCTTCAAGGAGCCTTCGTAGATCCCTTATGCAACCCTCAATGCAAACACGAACCGTAAACCCTAAACCCTAAACCCTAAACCCTAAACCCTAAACCCTAAACCCTAAACCCTAAACCCCTAAACCCTAAACCGTAGCCCAGTTGCAGCTGCTCAGTGCGGCGTCGAACCAGGGATCTGCCTCTACCTGGGAGTTTCCGATCATTAGGGGTACCTTTTAAGGGCCTTCCTTTAAGGGATCCTTAGGGTTTAGGGTTTAGGGACCGTTGATGATATGGGAGTTTCCGAAAATAGGGGTACCTTATTTTTGGGGTCCTTATAATAAGGATCCTACTATTTAGGGTACTAGATTAGGGTCCCCTATTATCGGAAACTCCCCATCTCTTGAGCTTTCGTCAAGTTAGCCTTTTGAGTCCTGGCAAGTAGGAAAGTCCCTTTGAGTCTAGCGTCCAGGATCTAGGGTTTAGGGTTGAGGGTTCAGGTTCTAAGTTTCGGGTTTAGGGTTGAGGGTTCAGGTTCGAAGTTTAGGGTTTAGGGTTGAGGGTTCAGGTTCTAAGTTTAGGGTTTAGGGTTCCGGTTCTAAGTTTAGGGTTTAGGGCCACTGGGAGCAGAATTTGGATCTCGGATCTGTTGTCCTCAACTGCAGCACCCGGAGTTCGAGTTGATCCACTGTAGGAGACATGCTGGTTCTAACCTGCCAGGCCTTTTGTTGATTTTTTTTTCTGAATTCGCACGCCACTAGTCCAATGCATGCAATACGTCTGACAATTTCCATCTTCGATGGTCGAAGATCCACCAGGGAACGAAAGGGCGAAGATTGGGGACCAGCTCTTCATTACTTAGAGGATTCGGGGACTGAGTAAGTAAGGTCGTAAGCACCTTAAATAACCATTGAGTTTGTAAGCAGTAAACGAATGTATTTACTGCAATTCTAACCCGAGTTACCAGGTCCCATGGTCCTCTGAGTAGAGCTCGAGCATCCAAACTCCCGGGCTCGAGTCTCTTTTGCTCGGCTGGTCATGGAGGGGAGCCCTTGCCAAAGCAGTCGCTTTCAGTCTGGACTGATCCCTGGCACAGCATTGATGCTCTGCTTTCCTGCCTCCGATGCTAGTGGAATGCAAGACTCACGGCTGCCAGATTCTAGAAACCCTGAACCCTAAACCAAAATCTCACTCCATAGCCCTCAACCCTAAACTCCAGGCCGTAAAGGCTTCGACACCGGGAAGGCGGAGACGTCGCTGACCATGAAATACAGCTCGTATTTAGTCTGAGCTTACCATGAAAAGCCTGGGGAGTATCTCAGGAAGCCACCTCCAAGAGGTGCTTGCATATTGTTTGTGCAACTCTGATGGCCTTTGGTGTACGTGGCTTCGTCAGTGACCTCATGCAAGTTTTTGCGAGTACGTGGACAGCAACGAAGCATTCGCCTAAAGCTTCTTCTTCTCTGCTGCTGCTGCTGAAAGCCTGAACCCAAAATCCTGAATCGTAAACTCTAGCCCTGGTTACTCCTATACAAGCATTGTTCCAAGGGATTCTTCCGAAACAGAGCTGTCACTATGGGAAACCGCCGCAGATGATTCAGTACCCCCGCGCACCTAAACCCAAGTACCGCATCCTCATAGTCTCGAGTCACAGAAATACATAGACACACATGTGTATACGTGTCGTAGCACCTGCTAACACTGCGAAAGCCTCGAAACCCTTAAGCCTGCAAACCCGGCCCTTACGGGAACCATAATCTTAGACCTTTGAACCCTCAAGTTTTAAGCTCTTAACACCGAAGAGCCCTCAACCCTCAGCGCTCAAACCCTCAAGCCCTAACCCGCTATAGAGTCCCTATTCATCCCTTAAGATAACCCGTATAGGTCTCTTAAAGACATCCCTCAAAGAAATCCTTATAGCTTTCTTAAAGGAGCCCTCCATTCCAAAACCCTAAACCCTAATCTGAAACCCTAAAACAAACCCTAAACCCCAAAACCCTAAAACAAACCCTAAACCCCAAATCCCTAAAACAAACCCAAAACCCCAAAACCCCAAAACCCTAAAACAAACCCTAAACCCCAAAACCCTAAAACAAACCCTAAACCCCAAAACCCTAAAACAAACCCTAAACCCCTAAACCCCTAAAACAAACCCTAAACCCCTAAACCCCTAAAACACATCCTAAACCCCTAAAACCCTTAAAACACACCCTAAACCCTAAACCCTCCCCCCCCCCCTCCAAAAAAAACACCCAGAACTGTCGATCCGCAGCAATGGCCCCCACCTCTCGGGTCTTGCGCTCCACAGCCGGAGTCTCGGACCTTGTGTGGCAAAGCCCTGGGCCTGTGGGGTAGCAGTTTAGGCAGTTTAGGGCGTAGGCTTCAGGGCATGGGGTTCAGTTTTTCTTTTTTGTGTGTGTTTTTGTTTTTTTTTGGGGATTTTGAGGTTTTTGGGGTTTGGGGTTTAGGGTGTGGGGTTCAGGGTATATTGAGCTGATTAAACGTTCTATTACAAACTGCACCGACCTCATCAAGCTCTGACAGAATCCTCCGACAGGTCTTATACAGAAATTGAAAGCACCATAAACACTAAACCCCTAAACCTTAGGTACGGCCCCCACTCAGGAATAGTTGAATAATATTCATAATATAGATATAGTAGGACCTTAATTAGTAGCCCTAATATAGACTCTTACTGTAAGGGGGGCGTACCTAACCTAAACCCTAGAACCCTAAACCGTATAAAAAGAAAACTCCCTGCAGAGATCGCCAGGTCTTGGCGCCGAGGCTTGGGCAGAGAAATAGAGCTTTTCAGGCTTAGGGGTTTTAGGGTTCGGAGTTTATTTTTTTTTTAGGGGTTTACTTTTTTTTTTTTAAATATATTTTTTTAGGGTTTTCCCCGTTCAATGGTTTGGGTTTAAGGGTTCCTTTAAGGGAGGGAGGGCTTGAGGGTTTGGGAGGTTGAGGGTTTAGGGGTGTAACACTGG